TTCGCATTCGATTTCGGCCGTGACCACGAGGGCGTCCCAGGAGGTTCTCAAATGGCCCCCCAGTCGATTCAAAAGTTTCGATCGTTGATCATCTTCCTCGGTGCTCCTCCTCGCTCTCGAAGCTGGGGAGGCTCCGAAACCACATGGAGCTGAACGGTTGCCTGGGTCACATCGTGAGCGGCCACGCGAACGACCAGCGCTTCGAGGCTCCTCCTCCTGCTTCTCCTCCTCCTTCCGTCCATCCTCAACTCGCAGCCTCCTTCGCTGGGTCCTACAGTGGAGGCCCATGCCAAGGAACGCCCTGCTTATCTCCAGGGCGCCCTGGGTTTCTTGGGTTTCGATGGCTCTGCGATGGACGGCGTGACGTTCCCACACCAAAAACTGATGGACGTTCCAGGGTCTCAGGGTTGGGTTTCTCGTGGAAGGTTTCTTGTGGACTGGCCTCCACTGTACGTCCTCCTCCTCGCTCGCCGACGACTCCTGCGTCTCCTCCTTCTCCTGTCCATCCTCAACTCGCAGCCTCTTCGCTGGGTCATACGTCCTCCTCCTCCTTCTCCTGGCCCTCCCTCCCCCCCCTGGTGCGCTCCACCGGTTGCTCCCTCCCGCGTCCCTCCGCGAGGTGCTTCGAGGCGCCTCGTCGTCGTCCTCCTCCTCCGCCTCCTCCTCCTTTCAGGAAGGGAAGAAGCACACACAGGCACACACCACGCAGACACAATGATTCGTCGACTCCCAGGAAAAAATTGCGAAACTTTGGGAAGTGGGGGGAAGATGAACACCAAGCAACAACATGGGAACACATTGGGATTTTTGGGATGTGTGTGTATGTATGTATGTATGTATATATATATATATATATATATATATATGTGTGTGTGTGTGTCCTTGTGCCCCTCGATCCTGTTCCTCCTCATCCCTCTTCCGCCTGGGAGCGCTCCAGCCTGTCGTCATCACAGGCAGGTCGCGGGAGATAAACCAGGTTGAGCTGCGTGGTTGTCCCTGCTCTTCTCGCCCGCCCCTCCCCTCTCAGCGTCGGTCTCTGCTTCCCTCCTCTCCCCATCTCTCGGTGTTCCTGCTCTTGCGAGGGTGCGGTGCCGATGTTGTACATCGGTGCTTTGATCATGTCTGCATGTCGTCGCAGTTGAACATGGCAGGGCGTATGTGAGAGTGCTGCGGGCACTTGCGCCTACTGGCAAAGCAAAACCAAGACCCAGCCAATCGCGTGGAGAGCCCGGCAGAGACCCCGGAGCAATCACCGTTTGCGAAACAAGTCCCAACGAGTTTGCCGACGAGTGCGAACGCGCGAGCACGCGCTCGGCCAAAACAGCGGCCACCAGCACTGGTTGCGAGTCCGTGTTTCGAATATAACAGCAACAGCAACAACAACAACAACAGCAGCAACAACAACAACGATAATAACGATACCAACGACAACAACGACAGCAACGGCAACAACACCAACAACACCAGCAACAGCACCGGCAACAAGAGCAACATCAACAGCAACACCAACAACAACTACTCTTACTACTACAGCTACAACTGCAAGTACAATAATATCATCAACAGCAACAGCAAGAGCAACAGCAACAGCAACAGTGACAGCAGCGGGAACAGCGGCAACAACAACACCACCAACAACAGTAACAGCAGCAACAACAACAACAACGACAAGAAAACACGGCACGAGCAGAAGGCTTTGAAGCTCTGCACGGATCTCTTGGATTGGCGCTGGGCCTCTCTCCGCGGCGCGCGCAGCGCGCCAGGGGCGGCGCCCGAGGCCCCGCCAAGGGGGGGTCCAGCGCCGATCAGAGAAGTCTGCGCGGAGCTCCGAAGGTTTGTGTTTATATGCAGCTTGCCCGTCCTCCAGAGCCGAGGCGCTGACACGAGGACCACCTTTCACCACCTACCAAACCACCCCAACCCAACCCGAAGGCTTCAATTTGCCCTCCATTTCCAGTGGGGGGGGGGTCGGGGAACGCTGAAAAAACACATGGAACCCGTACCCCCCCCAACCCGAAATTCGGGTCAAATTCGGGTCTTCGGGTTGGGTTGGGGTGATCTGGTAGGTAGTCAACCTTGGGCTCAGGAGTGTCCGCGGTGTTCTCGGGCCGCTCCCGGGATCTGGGTCGGGGAGCGCCTGCTCGAAGCCGAGGCTCGCCGTGGCCAGAGCGGCCCCCCCCCACCGTTCCTTCCCTGGCGCTCCTTCCTGTCGGAAGCCGGGCAAGGGCTGCTAAATCTAAATCCGTGGCTGCTAACATCGACCTCCGGGAAGTTGTCTTCGCCCATCCGGGAAGACGCCCGTTGACTGTTTCGCGTCCCGCGCCTCTTCCCGGGAAGTTGCTTTTTCCTTCCGGGAGGGCCGTTTTAGCAGCCACGGTTTTCGCAGCCCTCGCCCAGCTTTCGATCCTGGCAGGGCGCCGACTGCAGCGCGGCCCCGCTGGCGGCAGCCGCTGCCCGCGAGCACGCCCGCCTCGCGCGGCCGGGGCGCCGCCCCACGGCGGCGCGGGGGCAGCACCCCCGCGGCAGCGCGCCGCGGGGGTGCTGCCCTCCTCCTCCGCCTCCTCCTCCGCCTCCTCCTCCTCCTCCTCCTCCTCCTCCTGCTTCGGTAGCATCTTATGGGAGCCCGGCACGCCCTCTGAACTCAGTCTGTAGCGTCGACTCGCGTCGATGCGCGTCGGGGAGGCGATGGGATTGCGCCGACTGGGCATATGGGCTGGCCTCGAGCAGCGTCGATGTAGCGTCGATTGGCGTCGAGCAGCGTCGAGCGGCGTCGATTCGCAGGAGCCGGCAAGATGGTATGGGAGGCTCCCGCGAGTTGCCACCGAGCCCTGCGCCGCGGAGCGGGGCGGTCCCAGAGGAGGGCGAAAAACTTGGGCACGAGGATACGGCCGGACGAGGACGTCTCCAGGGACGCTACAGCCGTGACGCTCAAGTGCGCCCAACGCGACAAGAAAGGCATAGCGAGGCGCACGAGGGAGAGACATATAGAGATATATGCATACATTACCCCAGTGCGACCCTACCTAGAAGTTGGACCCCCTAGGAAAGCAGCAGTAGTTGCTGTGCTATGCTATGCTATGCTATGCCATGCTATGCTGCGCTATGCTATGCTATGCCATGCCATGCCATGCTATGCTGCGCTATGTTATGCTATGCTATGATTTGCTATGCTAAGCTATGCTAAGCTATTATTTGCTATGCTAAGCTATGCTATGATATGTCATGCTACACTGTGCTATGATATGCTCTGCTATGTCATGCTATGATATGCTGCGCTGTGATATACTGTGCTGTGCTGCGCTATGCTATGCTATGATATGCTATGCTGCGCTATGCTATGCTATGCTGGGCTATGCTGTGATATGCGATGCTGCGCTATGCTATGCTACGCTATGGTATGCTGTGCTCTGCTATGCTAAAGCTCAGCGAAGCTAAGATGAAGGTAAGCTAAGCTAAGATAACATTGAGGTAAGATGAAGCTAAGCTAAGGTAAGATGAAATCAGCTAAGCTAAGATGAGAGAAGCAACGCGAAGCTAAGGGAACGTCACTGGGGGAACCGCGGGGCGGATGCCGGGGGAGCCGCCCGGGGCGTGCCCCACTGCCCGGCCCTTTAAGCCTCAGAGTAAGAACCCTTCTAGGCAGAGCCTAGGTATGAAATGAATATACATATATATATATATATAGAGAGAGAGAGAGAGAGAGAGAGAAAAAAAGAAAGAAAGAAATAACAAAACATAGTGTAGTGGAGGAAAGAGGAGGACACCCCTCGGGGCTCAAGAGACGGGGGTTCGTGCAAACGGGGGTCCGCCAGAGCGCCGGATCTCGAAGGATCCTGCAGAGCCAGGGGCGCACTGGCCCGGGCTTTGGGCGCAGGATCCTGCGGGGTCCTGCAAGATCTCGCAGGATCCAGCAAAGCCCGACTGACCACCCGGGTTTGGATTGACCCAGGTCAGTAGGTCCCCCAACCCCGCAGGCGATGTTACTCCCCCAATCCCCGAGTTCCGTCCAAAAAGTTCGGCCGTTCCAAAAAGGGGGCAAGCCCTGGGATACACCCCAAGGGGGCTATTCTGACGCACCCTTATCGAGCATGGATGTCCTCCCATCGTATTTCCCAGGATCGGGCCCAACATGTGTGGCCCATTCGAAAACCCCACGAAGCCCAGGATAGGGGTCGACATATCCCCTGTGAAGAGCGCCTCGGGCCATGACAACATCATGACGGAAGGTTCTTCGCTATGTTCGGCCTCTGAGGGCCCTGGCCAGGCCCCATGGATCGTCAAAGAGCGACTCGGGATGAGAAGCCGGCCCGCGGGAACGAGTCGAGACCTCTGCGGGTCGACGCATGGCGGCACCCGGCGGCCGGGCCGCCGCATCCAGCGCCGCCAGCAGCGCCGCGAGCCCCGCAGCCCCTGCGGCACCCACCGCCGCTGCCCGCGGCGGGGCGTCGCCGAGGAGCTTATCGGCGGCCCGCGCCACCTCGCAAGGGCCAACTTGGGCAGCCTGCCTGCCGTGCGGCTGCACGGCTCCACGGTGAGGCGCCCTGGCTTCTCGCCCGCCCTGCCGCTGGTGCGCTGCTGCTGCTGCCGCCGACGCGGGCTGGAGGCGACGAGGGCATATGGCGCGGAGCCCTGCGCGCCCGCCAGGCCGCGCGCGCTGGCGCGCCGGAGGCGCCGAGCTAAGTGGCCGCAGCGTCTGTCTCCCCTGCCCCGCCCCCGCCTCCCTCCCTCCCTGCCTGCTTTTCGTCGCCACAGGCTCCTCTCGCGCTTGCTCTAGGCTGTAGAGTGTGTCGCGGCACCGTTGGCGAATACTGGATTCACTCGGGCCCTTCCCCTTCTCGTCCTCCCCTAAATTGGGGGGCGCGATGCCGCGCGCTTTCGGCCCCCAAGTTGCAGATTATTGCTCCGTGTTTCTGCCAAGTGGTGGTCGCCTTGCTGTCGTGGATCGTCGTCATCGTGGCCGCCGTCGTGGTCGTTGTCGTCTCATTCGCGATCGCCGTCGTCGTCTCCGTCGTGGCCGTCGTCGTCGCGTGCCCAGTGGAGTTGTTGTCGCCCTGAGATGCCGCCCTTGTCGTGGCCGGCAGGTGCGGGCCGTCGAGAGCAGGCAGCTCTTCAGGGTGAAGCGGGAGAACCTGGTCGCCGTCAGCGTGGAGGCGCCCTTGGGCACGCTGGCAGTAGAGATTTGGCATGTATTGTGGCGGGGAGCACGGGGGGAGTCCGAGGATCGACGTCTTCGGATCGAGACCCTGACGGTTGAGGATCAATGAGAGCCGAGGGAGACTTCGAGCGTCGAGGGTCGAAGCGTTTGGGGGCAGTTGTGTGTGTGTGTTCGGGCCTGCAGGGCCCTCCGGATGAGGCGGAGGAGTTCGGAGCTTCTCCGATTCTGTGGTCGGCACCGAGCGAAGACAAGTTGTTGATGTGGCCTCCATCCCCAACTCTATCTGAACACGTGTGATGTCTCAACCCATCGTTCGCTCGCACACTTCGTCTCCCGCTGCCTAGGCAGGAGGCTCTGCTCTGGCTCACCTGCGTTCCGCTCGTGTGGGTCCTCTGTGCGAGGACCCTCTCCGGCACCAGCAGCGTAGTCCGGTCTACGCCCGCACGAGCTCAATTGCCCGATGGTGTTTCTCATCTATCTTTCTCCTCCGCCGTTCTTCCTCTTCCTCCTCCTCCTCCTCCTCCTCCTCCTCCTCCTCCTCCTCCTCTTCCTCCTCCTCCTCCTCCTCCTCCTCCTCTCTCTTGTCTCATACCGTGTTGGAGTTCTTGGCGTAGCCGCTTAGGCCATCCAAGCTCTCTTACCCGCCTGGGCAAGCAACTTTGGCAACCACACTGCCCACTCCGGTGCAAAGTATACCCTTTCAGGTGGGGCGCATCGTTTCACGTGTCCTCTGGCCTGCGGCCGGCGCAGGGTGTGTGTGTGTGTGTGTGGGGGGGGGGCAATTCGTTTTTCTTGTACGCGCTCGCTCTCTCTCAGGCCACGGTCCACCTTACGGGTTTGTCTATCGCAGGTCGGCTCGTTGGTTGCACGCTGTTTGCCTGGCGACTCTTTGAATCGCATGGCAGTTGAGGTTGCGCAGTGTGGAGTTCATCTGTGTATTGTTGTGAAGAGTGTTTGATGTTTTGATGCGATTGCCTGGCAAGGCTCCCAGAGAGGCTAAGTCGAAGCCAGCCGCCCGCGCGTAAACATGTGAGTGGTCTTGGTCGGCGTGCGAGCGCGGTCTGGGAGCGCATGCCCGAGCATCTGAATGGATTCGGCGATCGGTCAAGATGAAGAGCGGACGGAAAGGGGAGAGAGGAAGAGGGGGAGACAGCGGGAAGATACGCCGATAAGAGAAGACACGCACAACCTCCCCCTAACGTGCACTGCCGAACGTAACCCCGACCTTGGTAACACCTTGCCCGGCCCGCGCGGAATGGGCGTGACACCTGCATTCTGGCGACACGCTGGTGTCGGAATGATGCTCCGGCTTGTGCGTGAGCCACACATCTGATGAAATATAGAAAAATGTGCTTGCCGCCCAGGCGCCAGCGACATCCTTCATTGAGCGCGTTGTAGCACGAGGCGGATATCAGAGGGTGGGGGTCCGGGTTGAGATCGCAGTGGGACGGAGAGAGCACCCGGACATCGGCTTCGGGGTCGTGTTCGTGGCGTGCGCGCGGGCGTGGCGAGGCTGCGTGGGCGCGCGGGAGGAAGGACCCAGCCGTCGCTACAGGGCGATTCGGGTGCAGTGGGGCGCCCCTCCGCCGCTCGGTGGGCGCGCGGTGGCCCGGGTTGTCCCGCCGTGGTGACCCGCTGGTGTCCCGTCGGTGTTCCGTCGGCGGTGGGCGAGCGGTGGCCGGGGGTGTCCCGCCGTGGCATCGATCGTGAAGTCGATCGTGAGAGCGATCATGAGACCGCTAGAACAGGAAGGATAGTGAGATGAAAAGCGAGGTCGACAGTAAGGTTGATTGCGACATTGGTTGTGGGATCGGTGGTGAGATCCATCGTGAGATTGATAGAGGAATCGATCGTGAGATCGACAGTCAGATCGACAGTGAAATCGAAAGCGATATTGATAGTGAGATGTATGGTGAGATCGATCTTGAGATCTATAGTAATATCGATCGAGTGTGATCGATCATGTGAGGTCGATCGTGGGATCGATCGGCTGAGATCTAAAGCTGGGACGATTCGCGACATTACATCGCAGCGCAACATCGTCATCACGCGTCGTCGCTAACTCGTGGGCGCGTCACCAGCATCGGCATCATCACACCCATCGCACTTGCCAGCAGTTGTGCAGGGAGTTCTGAGACGCGAGAGACAGAGAAAGAGACAGAGAAAGAGAGAGAGAGGGGCAGGCAGATACAGAGAACAGAAGGATACGACCACAGCGATCCCTGGAACAAGGGCTTGGGTGGAGTTGAGAGGGAGAGACAGAGATGCTCGCATTCCTCTTGGTGCCGGTGTCCACTTTTGTCGCTGCTGCCGCCTCGCAGGGCAGAGGTATCCCGCCGCACAAGGACCCGCGGCCGCGAAGGGAGAGTCGCATGCGAGAGCTGCCTGAGAGTTCCGGGGGTGTCCTGGCACCGCGCCGACGGAGGTGGCGGCATGGGCGTACGTCTGATGTGGCAGCATCCACCTTTCGTATCTGTTTGTCCTGGCAGTGACGCCGTCGTGCTTTCGCCGTGCACGGCTCAGTCGTGGGCAGTGTTGCGCGTGAAGCTGACGTAAGGCATCTCGTTTCACGTCATTGGGCAGAGCCGCCATGTACACATGACCTGCCGTCGCAAAGTTGCTCCTCCTATTGATCGCGATCTTTTACCCGACTCCCATCCCCACCATCCACACCCCGAGCCCCGAGTTTCGGCGGCGAGCGAGGGAGGGAAGTGAGAAGGGGTGGGCCTTGTCAGAAGTTTCGGAAGCCCCCCAGCCTTCTGAGAAGTTTTCTGAGCCTCCCGCGAAGACACAGAAAACTTCTCAGAAGGCGCGAGGGCGTCTGAGAAGTCCCGCGGCCTTTGGCAAGGCCTTCTCCTTCTAATTTCCCCCCCTCGCTCGCCGCCGCAGGTTGGGGATAGACCATGCGAAACCCGAAGGGAAAAGCACATATGATCCCGGGTCGAAGATCCACTGGACCTCTCCCAGATGGGATGGGTCCCAAGGCCGAAGGCCCCTCCCCCCCAGATGGAATGGGCGGGGTGGCGACCACGACGACGACGGCGGCGGCGGCGGCGACGACGACGACGGGAACGACGACGACGACGACGACGACGACGACGACGACGACGCTGAGGGTGGCAACGACAACGACGACGACGACGACAACGACGACGACGACACTGCGAGCCCTCGTGGGAACCCTTACAGGCCGTGGGTGGCCTCTCTTGAGGGGCCTTGGGTCGTCAGGGGCAGTTTCGGGCCTTCTTGGGGCCCTCTTTGGCCGTCTTGGGGCCGCCTGGAGCGCTTCTTGGGCCACGACGGCGACGACGAAGACGACGACGACGACGACGTCGCCAACGAAGACGACGACGACAGCAACGGCGGGAGGGAGGACGACGACGGCGACGACGACAACGGCGAGGGAGGAGGGAAGACGACGACGACGACGACGACGACGACGACGACGGCGACGAAATAGGAGGGACAACGACGAAACGCCGACGAAGACGCCTCCCTGGGCCGCGTGCCCACGGGCCAGCGCAGCACCACCCCGCACCCACAGGCTGGCGGGGAGCACCGGGCACTCCTCGCCAGCCCGCGCCCACGGGGAGGGGCTGGACCCCTCGCGGGGGAAGGGGGGGGCGGGCGAAGGCACCAGCACGAGGGCGGCGGCCCAGAGCCCCTGAGCATCTCTCTATATATGCATACATACATACATACATACATACATACATACATACATACATACATAATGCATACATACATACATACATACATACATACATACATACAGACATACAGACTTACAGACATACAGACATACAGACATACACACATACAGACATACAGACATACAGACATACAGACATACAGACAGACAGACAGACAGACAGACAGACAGACATACATACATACATACATACATATGTCTATAGATATACATATTCCTATTTATATATTTTTACAGGGCCGGGGACCCCGGAAAAGCGGCACACGGTGCCCCCCCCCAAAAACGAATTTCGGCCTCCCCGCGCCTTTGGGGCGCTCCTGCAGAGTGCTCCGTGTCTGTCCTGCGAGTGCGACGCGAAAAAAAAAGCCCCCACGACGGCCAAAGAGGGCCCCGAGACAACCAAAGATCGGCCCAAGACGCCCAATCTGGGCCCAAGACTGCCCAAGACGCGTCCAATACGCCCCCAGAGACCCCCAAGAGGCCTCCCAAGAGAGCCCCGAGAGGCTACAATTGTTGATTTTCCTGTGTGTTTTCCTATGTTTTTGGCCTTCTCGCTTTTCCCGCTTCCCGACGCTCCATAATGGCCCAAGAGGCTCCCTAGATCGCCCCAATACTGCCCAAGAGGCCCCCAAGAAGGCCCCAACACGGTCCAGGAGGGCTCCGAAACCGCCCAAGAGGCGCCAAAGACGGCCCAAGAGAGCACCAAGACAGCCCCAAGAGAGACCCAAGAGGGCGCCCAAAAATTAAAAAACTAAGTTTTCCGCCGCGAGAGGGCCCCAAGAGGCCCGGAGAGAGCCCCATGAGGCCCCAAGAGGCTCCCAAGAGGCCCCAAGGAGCCCCCAAGAGGCCCCCAAGAGGCACCAAAAATATCCCAAGAACCCCAAACACCCCCAAGAGGCTTCAAAACTGCCTCCCAGAGGGCCCCGAGAGGCGCACCACGAGATCCCAACACAGCGGTCTCCCCCTCTCATTATCCCTTCTCTTTGTCGTCGCCTTCTTCGTCGTCGTCGTTGTCGTATCCAATGGCGCACCGAGGCCATTTTTCGTTTAAACCACCGAAGGACCCAAGAGCTCCTCCTCCTCTTCCTCATTCTCTTCCTCCTCTACCTCCTCCTCCTCCTCCTCCTCCGTCTCCTAATCCCACGTGATGTTTCACGTTCCGCCCCGCCAAAGGTCTAGCAGAAGCAGCTCCCCTCACTCTCCCAAGTCTCTGCTGCGGGTTCCACAGGTATCCACATAATCTGTCCTCTTCATCCTCTTCCTCCTCTTCATCCTGCACCGCCTCTTGCACTACCTTCGGGCCCCCTTGGCGGCTTGGGAAAAACCGTTCCTAATTCGGGGGGGTTCTCTCACCCTTTGCCGCTTGACTCGCAGAGAGGCCGAGCGGCGCCGCGCCGCGCCGCCAAGGATGGGGAGAATGGACACAAAAAAAAGAAGCGGAGAGGGGGGAGAGGAAGAGGAGGAGGAACAGGAGGACGAGCAGGAGGAGGGGGAGGAGGAGGAGGAAAGGAAAGGAAAGGAAAAGGGGAAGGAGGAAGAGGAGATGACGGAAAGTAGTCTCATCCGCTTCGCCAGAGATATGCTCGCAACTCCGACCTGAGAAGCGCCTTGCTTCGCATCGGTCCCGCCGTTTTCGCTTGAGACATCATCGCAGCTCTGGTTTTCGTTTGAGACATCATCAGATCATTGCCCCACGGTAGTCTGACCACGTTTGCCTGAGACCCTCGCGCCTTTTAGTGGCGCGATGGTATGAGCAACTGGTCAGGCCACGACCGCCTGACATACGTATGTGTATGCGCACATATAGTTACACTGACAATTTGCATATACATGTACGTATCCATACAAACGCCTATATATATATATATATATGTGTGTGCATATGTACTATGCGTTCATAGACGCAGGTGTGTGCGCATGTACGCACGCTCGCACTTCGCTAGCGTGCGAATTGCAAAGGACCAAGGTGCATGGCGCGCAGCGCCAATGCAGTCTTGTATATATGTGTGCGTGCGTGTTTGCGATCGTTTTCTTATTCGTCGTTTTGCCCATCGGCGCGGGCCCTCGCACCCCCCTCCCCCCCCATGGAGTAGATCTTGTTTTTTTTAGGGGCCTGTTTCGAGCAGGTGGAGTCTCCCCCGTTGGACGCCCTGTCGCGTACGGTCACGCCTAACAGAGGTCTACAGCCAGACCCCCTCCCCACCCCCACCCTTCCGCCCAATGACAAAACGCCGAATAAGAAAACGCTCACTATCCCCATCTAGGATTAAGTCGGGCATGTCCCTCTACAAGAGGAATTTAAGTCCGGCGTGTCCCTCTACATGATATTCAAACATCGGAGGTTGGGGGGTGTGAACGGAAGTGGCCCCAACCGGGAAATCGGTTTCGGTTCGCGTCGTGCGCGCGGGCGAGGCGAAGTTGCGCGAGTTCCTGCACTGGTAGGGGCCATACATTGGCAAAAAGGCCGCCCTCCCCCGTCGGCCGGCCGTGGTTCCCGGGTTGTCCCGGCGGTTGTCCCGGCGGTTGTCCCGATGGTTGTCCCGATGGTTGTCCCGATGGTTGCCCCCGCGGTTGTCCCGATGGTTGTCCCGACGGTTGTCCCGATGGTTGTCCCAATGGTTGCCCTGATGGTTGTCCCGATGGTTGTCCCGGGTTGTCCATATGGTTGTCCCGGTGATTGTCCCGATGGATGTCCTGATGGCTGCCCCGATGGATGTCCCGATGGTTGCTCCGATGTTTGCTCCGATGGATGTCACCATGGTTGTCCCGATGTTTGTCCATATGGTTGCCCCGATGGTTGCTCCGATGGTTGTCCCGATGGTTGTCCCGATGGTTATCCCGATGGTTGCCCCGATGGTTGTTCCGATGGTTGTCCCGATGGTTGTCCCGATGGTTGTACCGACGTTTGTCCCGATGGTTGTCCCGATGGTCGTCCTGATGTTTTCCCCGATGGTTGTCCCAATGGCTGTCTTGGTGGTTGTCCTCATGGTTGTCCCGATGGTTGTCCCGATGGTTGCCCCGATGGTTGTCCCGATGGCTGTCCTGGTGATTGTCCTCATGATTGTCCCGATTGTTGTCCCGATGGTTGTCCCAATGGTTGTCTTGCTGGTTCATAGATAGATCTATATACATATATATAATGAACAGGTCGGTGGGTAAACAGGCAGGTGTGTATAGACATATATATATATATATATATATATATATATATATATATATATATAAACTAGTTGCGTACATATGTATGTACATATATATATATATATATATATATATTATCATACGCACCTCTCCGAGGGAGTAGAGCTCAGAGGCGATTAATGCGCACGCGTCCGCGATTTTCTGGGCGTTTCGCTCGGGACATCCTCGAAGTTCCGAAAATCGGTGGCACCCCTCACGCAGATCGTGACGTCAGGGTCCAACAACACATGGGAATTTCAACAGTTTAACATAAAACCTTCAAAAACACATGGTAATTTCAATAATTGTGACCCCGCTTCTCAGGGAATGGCGGTTTCGCTTGAAAAATCCTTCCAACATCGAGCCCCAGCCCCCGCCTCGGAGCCTCCTGGGGGCCTCCTGGAACCTCCTGGGGCCTCCTGGGGCCTCCTGGGGCTTTCTGAACCTTCTGGC